CGTATGCTTTTGCCTAGTTCCGGATAGCGCGTGCACTTACGACCCAACTGCACACTTGTTAATCTATTTTGTGTGAGGTATTCTTTGCTGGGTCAAAGATTTCTAGTCCGTGCGGGAGTTTGAGCCGTTGCGCTGCAGACAAAAGTTTCAAAATCATTCATGTTTTTTCTCTTTTTAAAATTTGCTGGAATTCTCTTGAATGAACTATTTTTGGAAAATGAAATAATACTTTATCAGAAAATAGGCCTACATTGTATGCTTGATTCGGTTGGTTCTGGCTGAAAAAGAAGAAGAATTTTTCCTGTGATTTTTTTTTTTTTCGCGTGAAGCAGTTTTGATCTATTTGGAACTGATTGAATCGACCCGGAACTAGGAAAAGTGACATCGGTACTTTTGACGTCGTAAAATCAAAATAAAAAGAGCTTAAATTTTGAAAATGATTTCATGGTCTCTCCATCACTCAAGGTAAACTTTTTAATCAATGTCACTTGAATTCGTGTAGTAGTTGAGCCGAAAGCAGCCTGAATGATGTTTGCTATCCGGAACTAGGAAAACGACTGTATCGTCTAGCCTAGCCCTACCTCTAGAATTAGAAGGCTTCTCTCCGTCAGTCTTCTAGCATGGTGGTTTTTCAGGAGTCAGCACTTTATGGCTTTTGGAAATGCCCTTTGATAGACGAAATACCTTTGTCTGAAATTCCACCTTCTGAAACACAAATCCACCAGAAAAGTTGAGCTGGTTGATCTATAAAGTTCTCTGAAATGTTTTAGAACGATTGACATTTGGATCATGGGACAATTTTTTGGGTGGAAAAACTGATTTTTTTCCTCACTAACCTCGCATTGCCGATCCGACGAATACAGCGGTCATGTTCATGTGTGTTTACGTATGTTTACTGATGGATCTTTTCATCCTTTAAAATTTAAAAACAGTCCACCAAAACTGACAACTTGTCACGACACAACACAGCGTATTCAGCGCGCCAAAATGATGTACATCATGATGTACATGTACATGTACTATTTCGCGATGCAAAGCATACAATCTCCCCTATTCCAAATGGTCGAGCCGACCTGCTGAGGTCACGCAAAGATCAGCGCACGCGCAACGTACGTAAACACACATGAACATGACCGCTGTATTCGTCGGATCGGCAACGCGAGGTTTGGTGAATAAAAACTCAGATTTTCAACCCAAAAAATTGTCCCATGGTTCAAATGTCAATCGTTCTAAAACATTTCAGAGTTATAGATCAACCAGCTCAACTTTTTGGTGGATTTGTGTTTCAGGAAGTAGAATTTCAGACAAAGGTATTTCGTCTATCAAAGGGCATTTCCAAAAGCCATAGAGTGCTGACTCCCGAAAAATCGCCATGCTAGAAGGCTGACGGAGAGAGGCCTTCTAATTGTAGAAGTAGCCTAGCCCTAGTCTATGGCCCGCACTGAGTAGACTCTACATCCTGGGCCATACGTGCATTGATTGCCAAAAGTGAGGATTTGAAAACAAAAAAACCCAACAATTTTATTTCAATCATTCCAACTCAAACTCGGAAGGTGGGTTCACTTACCCGTACCTCTCAATATTCCCCCAAAATTACGACTTCCCCGTGCTTCCTTCTGGTGAAATTGGTCTCTTAAAAAAAAATAATTTGTCTACCGAATTGAAAGTTCATGACAAGTACTGCAGCGAGTTTAAGTAGTCTGGTTCTCTGACCAAAATATTTCCCTTTCTTTTACATATACACGTGAAGGGTACCGCGTGTGGTATATCATATCCAAAAAAACATCGCATACGTGATCAGAACAGCCAGCCAATCACAGTGCCGCGCGCCTCGATTTAGCATATTATAATTAAGTTGCGTGCACTGTGATCGGCTGGCTGTTCTGATCCTGCATGCTATGTTTTTTTTTTTCGGATATGATACGGCAATAACCAGGCGCATTCCCCTTCACATGTGTACATTAAAGAAAGGGAAATATTTTGGTCGGAGTGGTACCAGACTACTTATACTTGCAGTGCGCAGCGCGATGCCAACCCGGAAATTGTCCCCATCATTTTCTCTCAGCGCTACATTAAAATGTCATTTTGATACGGAGAACCCAATCGTGAATTGACCAATTAGGTAACAACTTACAAAGGAGACGTCATCTTTCCAGTGAAGTATGCGCGGTTGTCATTTTTTTGATGGGGGGAGATTTTATAACCTACCAAAAATGTCCTTTCCCAAAACAAGCAGAAATTTCACATAATTCTAGAACGCGCGTACGGATTATGCAAAATGGGGATATAAAGTCACTAAATATGGTTTAATCTTGCCAATAACATGAATAAGTGCCAATTTTCCATGTAATAATCGTCTCCAAAGTTGCCCCTCCCGAGGAAGAAAAGGCCACGCGTACCCGTGTCGCAAGTGCAGACAGACCGGGTCAGCCAAAACACGAGGTCGGCCTGTAAAACATGTGGTTGGCCAATTGACCACACGCGGTTTGTTGGCATAGAGTGATTGTGTGTACGTGTACACGTACTGTATGGCACTATGCAGTATGGACGTGCAAACATCGCATAGTGTCGACACTGTTTACATCATTATGGACTTGAGTTGCGTTGCTTCATGTAGTTTTTTGTAAGTTTCGTTTCCTTTCTGGACCAAATTCATGCATTTTCATGGTCAGGGGCAACTAAATGACAAGAATACAGCAGTATAAATGCTCAAATATCATGTTTATTATCGTAGTGAAAGTCAAGCTCCCCGCGCTGCTGTCCATGGATCGTTTAGCACCGCGCCGTGCTGTATGTTTTTTTCAAAATGGTGCAAGACTGTGATGTTTCATCTTTTGGTTTAAAATTCTATAGTGCTGGATAGGGACGGCATGAAACTTCATAGTCGAGCAAAAACAAAATCTTTGAAGTATAAGAATTGGGACAGAGGGGAACTAACATTTCCATCAAAAAATAGAGGAAAATGCTACTTCTGTTTCTCGAAACTTCAAGCCTTGATAAAGATAAATCCAAGTGCAGTAGTAGAAAGCAAAAACTGTTTCTGAAAGCTTGGTTTGTCTACTTTATAAGAAAAAATGACTTGCAGAAAATGTACTTTGAAAATTCATGAGTTGGCAACTCTTATCCCGAATTAACCTAATACCAGGCGAACACTACTTTGCATTACTCCGGAGTGCTTCCCAATTGCACAGGTACGTTTATTGTGCGCGCTGATGTTGGATAGCAGACTACGCATTTCTGTGTGTACACAAGTTGCTTGGGAATGGATAATTGAGGAATACTGTTTGGATGATAAAACATGGAGGGATAGGACGGGGGAGGTTTTTTTAGGGATGGGAATTAAAAGGAAAACACATTTTTGGTCTAAACAACATGTACACACAGAAGGTAAACTATATACACTGGGATTTACTTAAAAGACAGAATGGATGATTGAAAAATAATTTTAAAAACAATTTGAATAGTTTGGTGAACAACTAAAAACAAGTGACTTGTGACTGTGACTCGAGACTAATGATGTGCATCGGGTCAGGTTGACCAGGCCAAACCGACCGGAAACATTACACATACAATGTAAACCGAATCCCAACCGAAACTGATCTTAATTCCCCCAAACCGACCCGACCCGACAAAAAAATAAGGTAAAACCCACCCGAACCAATCCGAAAACCCCCCCGAATATCTGGCCAGGATAAAGTGCCACTTTTTTGTGCCTGCCCTTAACCACGTGGCATGAATTCTTTTGCAAAACCATCGTCTCTCTCTCTCTCTGTCATATGGTTGATCAAGAGTTACTCCACTGATTGAACAAACGCATGGTATTACCACGCGGTATCATGAAAACTGTTTCAATCTATCTACATGTATTTCACTGTCAGTCCCGATCCAACTGGAGAAATTAATACCGTGGGATCTTGATAGTACGCACGTTGGCCACACCATGCCACAAGGGCTGCAGTCACAGTGTCTGTCAATAATATTGCATCACCTGAATTTCTGTTTCGGTTTATTTTGTTTTTTCAAAAGATGGCTAAACCATCTTGAATTCATGAACGGTCACAACACAAATCATGAATTCATGAACGGTCACAACTTGAATTCATGAACAGTCACAACACAAATCGCAAAGCACGCATGGTAAACAACAGAAATCTGTTTTTTTTTTCCTATGAAAACTTTACGTTTCAATGCATAAACAAACAACACCATTGGGTAGCCAGTCTATGAAGCTAAAAAAAGGTATCAAACATGAGTCAAAAGAGGGCGGCAAACACAAAATTACAATATTCTGAAAATTTTGATTGCCGATGATCGCTTTTACACAGGGCTTAGTTGAAAGGGTTAAGCAAGTTTGGATTGGCAGTAAAGGGCATGTCATGTTTCAAGACAAAGTACATCGTATCGAAGACATGTTGTGGGACTGTCATGTTCACCATGTTCAGTTCCTGAATGTGTCTGTCCATTGGAACCTCTATATCTCCCCCTCCTTGGTGCGCGACTATTGCTGTCTTTTTTTATCCGCGGCCGTGTATGCCATGTTTTCATTCACGAGCACAAGAACTTTCAACTTATCAAAATCAACTAAATGTACATGTAATAGTATACTGGTGTACTTTGCTTCAACAAAATGGATCTTAAATTAAGGTAAAAAAAAAAATATTAAAAAAGGAAAAACGTTCTGTCAGTGGTTCTGCAAACAATGATACAGAACGCAAGCTTTGAAGACAGCAGGACTTTTCTGTATGTACCAAGATTTTTGACAGAAAAGTACTGCTTGCTCCTCCTCGCACAAAATACCTACATTTTGTACAAGTACCGGAATGATATCATTGGCAAAATGACTTATGAACCTGCCTGCTCTGAGATCTGATGTTTATGTACAAAGTCGGTGTTTGTGTCTGCAGGAGTGGGAAATTTTAACATGATGCATATACTAATTGTATTTAAGCTTAACACTGAACTAATTTCTGGCGATCTTTACTTTTTTTTTAATATACCAGTGCGCACAATGGCAAACACAAAATATGGAATCTATGGAGATTTGGACAAATACAAGGATGTGGATGAAGATGAAATCTTGAAGTCTTTGACTGCGGAGGAACTTGAACAGTTAGCTGATTCATTGGATCCTGATGTAAGCTATGCGTTATTGATTGTCTGAAGTGAACATGTAGTTTATTTGTTTTTTTTTGAAGTTCTGTTGTGCAGGAATTTTCTTAAATAAAAAAAGAAAACTATTTTATGTAAAAGCAAATTACTTCATCATGATAACGAGCCTCTAACATGGACATCGCAAAAGAAAAGAAAAGAGAAACAAGAAAAGAAAAAGAGGCGCAAAGTAATAGTGGTGTAAATTGAATGGGTGGGGAGGGGGGCAAAATGTCCCTGCCCCCCTCTAAAACTGATAAATCGAGATAATGTTGAGAAATACAGGATTATTTTAGGAAAAATATGTTTTGCCCCCCTCTAGAAAAAATCCTGGCGACGCCCATGGCCTCTAATAGCTGAAACTTTCTTTTGAAATTTTATACAAAGAAAATATTGTGTTCGTAAACTAATTGCATATGTCAGACATACAATTTGGTTCAAAATGTCATGTGTTTAAGTACCACTTTTGACTATTGAAGCACAATGTATTTTGGAATAACGGAAGGTCCTTTCTCTTTCATTGTGAAGTTGGGAAAACTGTTCAATACAATTCTTTGTGATTTTCATTTTTTTGACCGAGAGAATAGAATACCTGTAGCCAATTTCACGAAACCGTATGCAATAGCGCAATTCTGCTTGCGCCAAAATTTGTTGCATAAGTTGCACAACATTTCACGCTGCGCAACATTTCACTTATGACATGCTTCACGAAAATTGGATAGTTCATAAGTCCTTGACTTGCGCAATAAATTATGGCGTATCTTGCGCAATCATTTTAGGTGGCGTAAGTTGTGGCGTAGCGACTGAAAATGACATATTTTACCAGCAAAACGGGACTGTCGTGGAACCCGTTATTGCACAACTTATCAAGGTTGATACAAGACACTCACAACTTTATGTTTGAAGTAAATTAATTTCTATTTCACTCGTAACATAATTTTTTGAATTGCCGAATGATTCCGAAGAAAGTCGGACAAAATAATTTTCAAAATGGGGAGCTGAGGTGATCCAACGACTGTTTCGAGAACGAACAAATTCACACACCAAACAGCCGTTGTAAATGCTGTTTTTAGCCTTCTTTAGTTGACGAACTAACTGACTGACTTTCTTGTATGGGGCAATTCCATGGGTAACAGACTGACATTTTGGGAGGGGTTTTCACAGTGTATCCCTTCTGTAAGGTTGTTGTAGTAAGTTAGGACCAAAACTCAAGTACATTTTTGTTCATTGCAAGTGCCCCTATAACCTGCAGTTTTTCTTTCCAAATTTATTCTTTTTTGGGGTCTGGTAAACTTATGTGTTGCCATGGTAACAGACTGACACTTGCGCATTTAGCCTTGACCAAGGCTATCAGCTTGTTCCAATACGAGCTTGTTCCTGCTACCGCACACACAGTGTGCCGCTACACTACTATACCGTTAGCCTCAACGACCCTTGCATGTGCTTTGTGTGCATATTTGTACACCCCACACACACTTCCGCAAACAGTCGTACAGTAAGTCGAGGCGGAGGATAGCCTTGACGCAACCGTGGCGAATTCTTTATGTGATTCTTTATATTTTCGGCCAAACTCGGCCAAGAATTTCTGATTCGCATATATTACACGATATCCAATCAAAGCCCGTAAACTTTGACCCGCGACATACATATTCATGAGCCCGCAAATTACCGTAAACACCACGTATGTTCACTCAAGAAAAATGTCCAGGTATTTCAATCCGATTTTAAACCATTTCTCCAGTTTTATTCCAAACAAATGAAATATGCCGCTATATGAATGAACACCTTTTTTTCAAAATGATACTATTTCCAATGTATTGCGAATTGGACAGTTCAAGACAGTTATATCCGCCGACGTTTATTGTCGGTGCAACAGCGTTCATTATCACGCCACTACCCGTACCTACCCGTGACATTCTGACAGCGAATGTAGGAAACAGGTCAACTCGGACCCAGGTCAAATCGTACACATTTTATCGAATGCAGGTTAACTCGTATCTATAAGACATGTCGCAACTGTATGAATTGACTGCCATGAAATGAGCTATTGACTTTGGGATGGAAATATACGAATAAAATCTCTCTCCCTGAGTTCGTACCATGTGCAATATATCTCATACATACATGTACGACACATGTATTTTAATGCGTACGTACAAATTGTATGTCATACCTACGACATACGTACGACATGTCAGTCGTAGGTATAACATATAAATCGTATGACATACAAGTCATGCATACGAGTTACAATACATAAGTCGTACGTACGAGATACAAGTCGTACTCACAAGATATGTCGTATGTACGACATAATCGACAAACAAGTCGAACGTACGACTAGTAAACATTCATACATGTATGTTGTACACACGAGATATTAAGTCGTACTTATGTACGACAAAGTCGTATGCGACATATATCGTACCCTGTCGACCCGAAATATAAGATCGTACGCACGACATATATGTGGTACGTACCGTCACCTGTCGACATTATGTCATATGTTTGATATGTCATACCCTGTCGACATATTATGTCGAACCCTGTCGGTATATTAGTCGTACTCTGTCAACATACATGTCGTACCCTGTCGATATATTAGTCGTACAGTTCTTATTCCTCCATGATCGACATATACATAGCTGCCAACTATTACGATTTTTTCGTAATTATTACGAATTGTTTGTTAAATTACGAAAATACGATTTGCCACTAAAACATTACGAATTTCCCATTTTCTACCTAACGAAAAAAAATAATACTTGTAAAGTATCGTTTTTGACCGAAAACTTCTGGCGAAATGTTGCGATAATGGATGGACTGGTGACAAGTAATAAGCAATGCGGTCAAGCACCTGATAGACATAAATGCAGTGTGCGCAGTGGAGTATTTGAGGACCAGACTAAAAATATTTTTCAATGGTGTGCCATTTGTGTGCATCTCGTGGATATGTGGTTGGGTGTGTGTACTGTATGTGTGAGAACTTTTCAGTGGCGATCGTGAGCACATTTGGTCGCTTATTGCCGGGATGAGACCCATCAGTGCGAGATTTTAATCATGGAATTTAATAAGAGTATGGTTGGAATAATTGGTAATAGAGTTTGAGTTTATCACAACGTCCAGAAAAGATAAATCAGCATGCGTTTGCAAGGTATGTTGGCAGGATATTTCTAACATACGGTGGCCCTAAATCATTGTGTGTAAAAACACGATACGAACTCGAAACTCAACATCGATAGCATGCATCTCAAAAAAAAAAAAATGCGCACATGTTATTATTGTTGTTATTTATTTGACTTCAACAAACAAATACAGACAGTAAAACAAAATGAATTTAAAAAAAAATTATTATTATTATTGTTGTTATTATTGTTATTATTATTTCTTTTAATTATCTTTTGGCCTACAGTACATTATTATTCACAACAAGAATGGTATGCACATGAAACCATGTACATGTACTCGATGTTGGTAAAGCTGGTACATACACTTCTGATTTTTGATCCTTTTCATTTCATTTTCGACCCAAACTATATATAACTATATAAATATTATTGAACTATTATTTAAGATGTCAAGGGGGTGTTTTACAGTAATTATTGTTACTCCAGGGCCGTCTGGTTTATAAACCTTTGGTCGCATTATGCAATTAATAAATATTCATTATTTTGGCAGCCATTATCCAATCTAGTGTTGCCGTAGGATGGCGAAGGTTGTTTGAATACTTCTATATTGACTCAAACAATATTTGTACCAAATTTAAAAGCATTTGAATGCACAATGTACAAATTTTGCCAAAATACTGTTTTTTGACAAAAAAATGCAAAAACATAAAAAAAGTAAAGCGCCCTCTTGTGGTGGCAGTAGCACAACCAAATGAGTTCAACTTTAAGTATCTACATGTACCAACCACCATTCTTGCCAAATTTCAGGAAAATAGGCCGAAGTACATGGCTGAAGTAGTGGTAAGAATACCTTCACCTGGGCCTTTGATTTAACTATGCACTTTACCCACAATGCCTTGCATCTAGAGCCATAGACTTGTACATTTGTCAGTCTGTTACCGTCAGTCTGTTACCACATGCGTCAGTCTGTTACCATGGTTTATTTCAATAATAACAAAATGGTACATGAATTTTCTTTGTCAATTCTGTTTATAGCTTGATGACTACAGAGAATCCAAAAAAGAAAGTTATTCTAACTAATATACATGTAAAACACTAAAAAAAATTTTTTTTTATATTTCGGTAACAGACTGACAGTGACACATAGTTTTGGTAAAATTTAAAAGCGGCAGGATTTTGGGTAAAATGCAAAACAAATTCAATTTTGTAATTCTAGGCAATAAAACGTGTTTTTTTGCTTAAATTACAAAATTCAAGAAAAATATACTTAATTAATTGGCAAAATATACCTAAAATTGCAATTTATTAAAATTTTGCTTTTTGACCAATAACTGCTTTTTTTCACCCATTGTCATGTCAATTTTGCATTTGATGTAAAATTGAGTGAATTTTTTGTAATTTGTACCTTATCAGCTTCAAAATGGTAGCCAACATGACCATTTATTATGAAAAACAATTTATGACCCTCAGGATGACATTTTCAATCCCATGAAAGCAATACATATAACAGTATTTTAAAGGCTTAGACAGTTAGAGCTGCTCCTTGATTTTGGATCAAGTAATAACTGAGAGTCATCATGGGGACACTGTTATTGTACAGTTAAGAGACTTAATCCTTTTTTGCCCTATAGATGTGACTCAGAAATGACTTAAGAATATCAAAAACAGGCACTGCGAAAGCTCTGCTGTATCTATGGGGAATCAAACAACACTAATAACTATGGGAATCCAGAAAACCATTCAGCTGATTGTACTGATTACAGGAAAAAATTGAACACTGTTTTCACACTATAGTTGAACGAGCCCTGTGGTTATCCTACTAAATTGTGTCGGTGATGTGTTGGGATATTGTGCAACC